TGTCTCAGCACCAGCACCTCAGCAGCTCCAGCTCAGCGGGCTCAGCAGCCCCGGGACGGCAGGACCAGCACCCTCGACGGTCGAAGAAGCTCCAGCTCCAGCGGCACGCCTCCAGCGGCGAGCAAACCACTCGCGCAGCTCCTGTGGAGAGAGGGGCTCCCGGTGAGACGCAGCAGCAGGAGAAACCCCAGGCTCAGCAACTCCAGACGCAGCACCCCCAGGCGGAGCAGCCCTAGACTCAGCACCCCCAGGCTCAGCAGCTCCAGGCACAGCACCCCCCTGCTCAGCACCCCCGGGCGTAGCACCTCCAGGCTCAGCACCCCCAGGCTCAGCACCCCCATGCCAGCACCCCCAGGCTCAGCACCCTCCGCAGTAGCACCCCCAGGTCCAGCACCCCCAGGCCCAGCACCCCCAGTAGCAGCACCACCATGCTCGGCACCCCCGCGCACAGCACCCCCAGAGTCAGCACCCCAGGCTCAGCACCCGCAGCAGCACCAGAGTCACCAGTAACCTTGACCGGGTCAACTGCGTCTACCTGGGACACACCTGAGGGGGCAGGAACCTGAGGGGGAGGGGGTCTACCGGGGGGGGAACCGGCACAAGGAAGTCCGGTGGAGGGGGGAGGGAAGGAGTGCGGTAGGGGAAGAGGCGGTAGAAGGGGACTGACTCGTCGAACGTGACGTCCTGGGAGGACAGAACACGACGAGAGGAGGGGTGGTAGAACTGCCACCCAGGAGCGTCTGTGGGGAAGCCAAGGAAGACACAGGGAGCAGCATGAGGGGACAGCTTGTCCGCAGACAAGTCGCGGACAAACGCCCGAGATCCCCAGACACGGAACGCCGACGCATCGCCAACCTTCCCCGTCCACAGCAAAGCTGGGGAGGTCTCCGGTCGGGAGACTCTGGGCTGAAGGTTGATCTGATGCGCGGCGTACCTCACCGCAAACGGCCACAGAAAATGGGGGGCAGCCGCATGCACCATGGACGTACGGGCGACGTCCATGACAATGCCGATGCGGCGCTCATCAATCCCATTCTGCTGTGGAGAGTCCGGAAGCGTGAAGGTCTGGCGGATGCATCGTGCCCAACAGTAGGCTCTCAGAAGGCCGGAGGAGAACTCTCCGCCTCTGTCCGAGTGAAGACGCAAAACAGGAAAGTCCGAGCCGAAGCTCTTCCTGAGCTGGAGACGAGCTGCGCGGATCCAGTCGATCAACACCTCAGTGACCTCACCCTTGCTGCGCAAGGGGAAGAGTGAGGTGTAACGCGAGTAGTCGTCAACCACCAGCAGGAAGTAGTGCTCGTGACCCTGTCCACGGACGCGGGCTGGGCCCCACACGTCCATGTGAAGCGTCTGCATCGGGGCCTCCGTCGGAGGAAACGGGGAGGAGTGAGGGGTAGCCCGCAGGCGACCTTCGACACAGGGGACACAGGGAGGGCCAGGCCCCGGAGGAAGGGGAGGGAGGGATCGGGGTAGACCAGAGACAAGGAGGCGAGAGGCCATGCCCCGGAGATGGGACAGGGAGGGGTGACCCATCCTGTGGTGCCACAGGAGGGTCTCGTGGGACAGGAGGCGACACGAGCAGGGGGCAGACGCAGGACCTGACCGGGACGCAGCAGCAAGCACCTGACCTGACGCAGCTACCTGACCGGACGCAGAGACAGGAGGAGACATAGTGGTCAGGGTGTAGAGACTCGACCCCGGCCGACGTGAGAAGGTGGTCAGGTGTCGGCCTGTGCGTGCGTCCGTGCAGTGGGTCACCCGCTGACGCGCAGGAGTGAACTGGTGAACCCCCGCATCCTGGAGGTCCGCACCACTCACCAAGTTCGTAGAGAACGAGGGAAGGTACAGACCAGACAGGGTGCCCGAAGGGGCAGCCGGACACGGGAGGACAGTGGAGAAGTGAGAGAGGACAGGACCCCCAGAGGGGTCAGCCAGGGAGACGGCAACCGGCCGGCCAAGCGGCGTAAGGGTGGTGCGGTCTCGAAAGAAGGAGCGAGAAGCCCCAGAGTCAAGTGTGAAAGTGAGGGAGGACGAGGGCGACGCAGAACCTGAGAGCGCAGTCTCACCAGTACCTGAGAGCGCAGACGCACTGGCACCTAGAGCAGCAGCCTCACAAGCACCTAGCGCAGCAGTACCAATGCCCGGGTCGGGCTAGAAACACCGGTAACCCTCAGTCTCCTCACTAATAGTCACAGCATACATAGCAGCAAGGATAGCATCAAAATCAAGATCAAAGATCGCTACACCAGCCCTAAGAAGCTCATCCCAGCGAGGGATCTCACTAGCCCCAGGGAACTGCTGACGCCAAACGTCCGCCAGGCGGCCAAAGCAGCGCTGGGTGGGGTGGGCACCCCCACACTGCTCACCCGCGCGGTCGCCGGAACGAAGGACGTAGGTGCAAGGACCAGTACCCCCACCCCTCTGACGCTGAGTGTACCACTCACGAAGCTGCTGAGGCGGAGGGATGTCCCGCGAACGCTGCTGCTGCTGCTGCTGCGAGCGCTGGCCACCACCACCGCCGCTTCGCTGCTGGGTACCACCCCGACCAGCTCCACCCCCTCCACCACCACCGCCTCCGCCGCTGCCTCCTCCGCCGCCTCCACCTCCGCCGCTGCCACCACCACCACCGCTGCCACCACTACCGCCGCCTCCGCCGCTGCTGCCACCACCACCACCACCCCCGCCACCACTCCCGCCGCCACCCCCACTCCCTCCGCCGCCTCCGCCGCCACCGCCACCGCCCCCTCCAGCTCCACCCGCGCCCTTGCCCCCCTTGCCCTTGCCAGAGCGACGTCTCCCACTAGGGGCAGACGCCGCGCCGACCGACTCAAGACCAAGTAGGTCGGCAGCAGCAGCAGAGGCAACAGAGGGCAGCAAGGGGGAAGGAGAGCACCCCTCAAAGATGGGGGTGCGAGGGTCTCCACGAGAAGCTCCTACAGCGACTATGCTCTTCTCCGCTGCGAGGAGGGCCTTCTCGAGGACGTCGACTGTGAGGGTGGTGGGACAGACTGCGAGAAAGTGGTCCCTGACTACTCGAAGGGAGTCAGGGAGGCGTGCGACTACGTAGTAGAGAGTGATGTACATGGGGGGGGGGTTCTTAGCGCAGAACTCAGCAGGAAGGGCGGCGCGGTAGCGAGTGTCACTAGTGCGAAGGTGCGTAATGAGGTCAGCGACAGTGGGAAAGGCAGAGAGGTCAGGAAAGAGGTAGGGAAGCATGAGACGGCTCAGTGCAGCAGTGGCAGGGGAGGAGTAGCGCGCAACTACAGCGTCGTACAAGGTCTGAGCACTCTTGTACTGACTAAAGTGCGCGCGCTCAGAGGTAGGGAGGTGGCGACGCACAGCAAGACGTGCAGCAGCATCGCGGGTGGCCCACTGAGAGCGCACAGTGGGATCAGCATCAGCAGCAGGAGCAGGAGAGGCGCCAGAGGTAAGGTCAAAGAGAGAGAGGCCGTCTGCCCTATCGCACTGTAAAAACAGCTGCAGGTCGTCTACCCAGACCTCAAAGTCAATGGCGCGACCCTCAGCGTCAAAAGCTAGGACACTAGGGGTAGCCATGACGACGACAGCGAAGCAGTGCAAGCAGTAGGGGAAGAGCACGCAGTGACAATGGGACTGTGCTCACCAGGCAGGGCAGGCCGGGCAACTCTGCAGAAGGGCGGCTCTGCGACTCAGCGACTCGGCTGCTGGGCGGCTCTGCTCCCGGGCGGCTCGGCGGCAGGGCGGCTCGGGTGCAGGGCGCTCGGCTCCCGGGCTGCTCGGCGGCAGGGCGGCTCGGGTGCGGGGCGGCTCGGCTGCACTGCTGCTCGGCTGCTGCAGGTGGGCGGCTCGGCTGCTGCAGGTAGGGTGGCGGGGCCGCGGGACCAGGGGCGGCGGGGCCGAAATAGCAGGGCCGGCAGAGAGGGCGGCGGGGGCCGCGGCTGAGCAGGCGGCGGAGCCGGCGTCGTAGTGGGCGGCGGCGGGGCCGCGTCGTAGCCGGCGGCGAGGCCGCGTCAGATCAGGCGGCGGGGCCGCGTCAGTGTAGGCGGCGGGGCCGTGTCAGATCAGGCGGCGGGGCCGCGTCAAAGGAGGCGGCGGGGCCGCGTAAGAGGTGGCGGCGGGGCCGCGTCAGATCAGGCGGCAGGGCCGCGTCGAAGCGGGCGGCGGGGCCGCGTCAGATCAGGCGGCGGGGCCGCGTCAGAGTAGACGGCGAGGCCGCGTTATTGCGGGCGGCAGGAGCCGCGCCGTAGCGGGCGGTGGGGCCGCGTCAGAGCAGGCGGCAGGGCCGCGTCGAGCAGGCGGCGGGGGCCGCTTCGTAGCTGGCGGCGGGGCCGCGATCGGGTGGCGGGGCCGCGACGTGGCGGCGGGGCCGCGATCGGGTGGCGGGGGCCGCGATCTGAAGGGGTGGCGGGGGCCGCGTCTAAGGGACAGCGGGGCCACGAGGGAAAGGGCGACTCGAGGGGTCGCTAAAAAAAAATGCGCGCCTCGGGGCGCGCTTCGGTGGGCCCTAGGCAACGTTCCCACAGGGAACTCGCTCTATACCGTGAAACAAATGACCAGGAATGAGAATGACTAAGTCAATTTGGGTACAAATACAAACCTAGAAAGCTGTACCCCATATGTGCTACCCCACTATAGCCTACAAACATGCATCAGCTATAATAATCTGACATCAATCAGTTCACTATTACGCTTCCGCAACTACATCATCACTCCGAGTCTTAGCCTTGAAACGATCCTAAGGGCTTTTCTCAGCCCAACAAATCGCACAAAAAAAAATGAGGGGGGTCTAAATAAGTGGCATATCTGTTAAAAGACCCGGGTCTTTACAAATTAACAACTTTTTTTAGCATGTGGGACTCAATGCGCAACTAGCACAGCCTACAAGCAGATGCTAATGTGGGTAGCGTTCCTACCTCACATCAAGCACCACATGTGGGACTCAATGCGGCCATTCACAGGCACATGGTATTTCGATACAAGGTAGGAACACACCCTTAGGCACACGAGTAGTAACCATCCCCATGCCACAGCGTGCTACCCTAACCTGCCCCCATGTGCCACTCCTGCAGCGCATTTCCAGTCCTGCAATGCCGGAGCAGCATTGCGGCCAGAGAGTGGGACCGTGGAATGAAGGCAGGCCCGCTGAGGAATGAGGGTGGGTGGGTGATGTGGGCAGGTGGCATGGCAGGCGTGGGATCATGCTGCCTGCACTGCCGCCAGTGATGAGTAGTCGCATTGCTCTGTAAGCAATGAAACAGGTGATATTGGGGGCAAAGGAGGATGGATGAGCAGACAGTGCCAAATTAGGAACAATGAGGGGGAGGTGAGGAGATGAGATGACAGGAGAGGACAGGAGAGGAGAGGAGAGGAGAGGAGAGGAGAGGAGAGGAGAGGAGAGTGAGGAGAGGAGAGGAGAGTGAGGAGAGGAAAGAGGAAAAAAGAGAGGAGAGGAGAGGAGAGGATAGGAGAGTGGAAAATAGAGGAGAGGACAAGAGAGAGGAAAAAGAGAGGAGAGGAGACGAGAAGAAAGGACGATGCGAAGAGAGGAGGGAAAGACAAGGCAAAGAGAGCACCGGAGAGGAGAGAAAATGAGGTTCGGAGGTGACCAAGGCAGCATGTGCACACACAGCCACAACCGTCGCCACTTACTAGTGGCCTGGGTGCAGGAAGCAGAGCCGAGGTTGCCCCAGTCAGAGGAGGCGACGCAGCCCTTGAGGCAAGCCACAGTGTAGGGCGCCGTGCTGCTGGCGTGGTAGTGGTAGAACGCCAGCTCGCCGCTGCTGCCGTCGCCCACGTGCCCCCCACACTCGTCCAGCCCTGCCAGCAGCGCCCCCCCCGCTGCCCGCGGGCCGAAGAGCGGATGCCGTCCGCCAGGAAGCCCAGCAGCGGCGAGTGCTGCCCGCGCACGTCCTGCCAGAAGGACGAGCTGGGGAGGGAAGGGGTGGGGAGGAGGGGAGGGCGGAGAGAAGGGGAGGTGGATGGTTGGGATGCCAGGAATTCTACGAGTTGAATGGCATGAGGCGGCATGGGGCATGGATGAAGCAGGTTGGCTATGGAAGGAGTAGAGGTTGCAGGTAGTGAAGGTGAGAAGGTGGGAAGGGGGGAAACCGGAGGAAAGGGGTAATGGGGGAATGGGGAACGCACTTGCAGAGCTTGAAGTTGGTGGAGCGAGATGCGGAGATGGCGGAGGGTTTGGCAACGCCGTGCGACGTGGTAGTGGTACTGGCCCGAGGGCGTGGGGTGCCCCCCACACGAGTCAAAGGTGGAGCCCTCGTACTGCAAGGCGTCACGGCCCAGGGCGTCATACGTACTGCGAGGGGGGAGAGGGAGAGGGAGACATGGGGGGGGGCAATGCGGGCGTGAGGTGGCAGGCAGGCACACCCACAAGGGCTCCCACGCTTCTCGTAGTGCCAGACATCACACACACTGGGAGCAGTATGGGCAGCAGAGTGGGGATCGAGATGGTGCACAGTTCCGATCATCGAATGTGAGCCCAGTAGCTCTACCGCCTCCCCCCGCACCCTCCACCTCTCCCCCTTCCCGTGACCTATAGAAGGGCACGCCGTTGAGCGCGAAGCCAATGGGCCCATCTTGCACGTGCCGCTGAGGGCGACAGGAGTGGTGGAGGAGGCAAGCGTGGGGGCGAGTGGCACGGCGAAGGAGAGCGCCTGCTGCAGTGGCGAGTACAGCGTGGCCTGCACTCGCCATGCTTGCCATCACCCTGCCATGGCCAGGAGAAGAGCGCCAAGGGAACAAGGCAGGGGGATTAGGGCACGGGGACGAGGGCAGGTGGAACAGGGCAGGGGCGGAGGGTAGGGAGTAGTAGAGAGTGATGGAAAGGAGACATGGAGGCAGAAGAAGAGATGGAAACCAATGCGTGAGGGGACGAGATGAGAGGACATTAACGTGCATGCTAAGTGGCAAGGCAGGCAGTGTGGCAGAGCGGGTGGGCAAACCTCTTGCCATTGCTGCTCGTGCGCTTGGCGCTCCTGCTGCTGCTGCTGTTGCCACACGCACTCCCACCTGATGACCCGCTGCCTCCCCCCATGCCACCTCCGCCCATGCCTCCTCCGCCCATGTTTCTCCGCCCATGCCTCCTCCGCCCATGCCACCTCCGCCCATGCCACCCCCGCCCATGCTTCCTCCGCCCATGCCTCCTCCGCCCATGCCTCCTCCGCCCATGCCTCCTCCGCCCATGCCTCCTCCGCCCCATGCCTCCTCCGCCCATGCCTCCTCCGCCCATGCCTCCTCCGCCCATGCCTCCGCCGCCCATGCCTCCTCCGCCCATACTTCCTCCGCCCATGCCTCCTCCGCCCATGCCTCCTCCGCCCATGCTTCCTCCGCCCATGCTTCCTCCGCCCATGCTTCCTCCGCCCATGTCTCCGCCCATGCCTCGCCCATGCCTCGCCCATGCCTCCGCCCATGCCTCCGCCCATGCCTCCGCCCATGCCTCCTCCCATGCCTCCTCCGCCCATACCTCCTCCGCCCATGCCTCCTCCGCCCGGACTACTCGTTTGTCCGCTCATCCCGCCACTCTTTTCGCGCCAAACCTACCCTGCCCGCTTTGCCCGCCGTTCGTTGCGCCACTTCCGCCGCCGCCGCCGGGCCGCGGGGGGCGGAAGAAGGACCAGCCTCCGCCTGTCCCCGAATCCCCCTGCCAAGCCGCCGAACCTTGGAATCGAGCGAGCGCGCGCGCTGCAAGCCGCGTGATCGACGCCCGCGAAGCAGAGGAGCGCGACGAGCGCGAGGGCCGGGACGACGCGGGACGAGGCGAGGCGACGCGTCATCATGGCGAGCGGCGAGGAATGCTAAAACGCTCCAGACGCGAATGGTTGCGAATGGGAGTGGTGAGGCAGGAAACGAGCGAGAGTCCGCGAGGGAGGGACGACGGCGGGTCCCAGTCGAAGCCCAAGAGCGATGCTGTTGGGATGGGCGAGGATGATTCGAGAGGCGTGGTGTGAAAAGAAGCCTGAGAGGCGGCGCTGCGGAATGCTTCTAGCGAAGTCGCTATTTGTACTTCCACTGCCATCGCCGCCGCTGCCATGAACCCAAGACGGTCGACGTGCACGTATTAGGAGAAACTGATGCGTTGTTTGACTGTTGGGACGACCACGTCAACGCGAATCCAGTCAACGGTGCGGAACTGTTGACTGACACTTGGGCGAAGAGTCGGTGAAAAGGGAGGGAGTCCGTGTCTGTCGTGAGTGTGCTTGCAGCGAATTATAGAATATTGTTAGGCCCGACGGCCTAAGTCCGCTAAAGAATTAGCGGGGTCGACTAAGTCGAGGATGAAACGCGGCGGAAGACTTTGGCGAAAGAACTATTGGCGAAATAGGCGAAGAAGTTACTGAGTAATTGAAGAAGAGTTGAATGAGAATGATTGATAATGGCAAGTACAAGCAAGGTTTATATAGCATGCAAGAAACAAGGTTGGAAAGTGGAATGTGGGACCAAGAATTGGAGTGCAAGAAAAGTAGAGTGCCACGGTGGCACTAGAGAATCTGAGAAGATAAGGATAATGGTGACTAGGAATGTACTGTTCGGAATATGAACAGTAAACACCCCTCTAACACTACCCCCCGCCCAAGGAGGCGACTCCGTCCGCGGCGCCTGCAGACTGAAGGTACGCTTGGAGGCAAGCGTTGTCAGGAGACAGCGAGGACGAAGGAACCCAGCTGTCGTCTGCTGCGTCGTAACCACGCCAACGAACCAAGAAGTCGATGAAAGTGATACCCCCCTGGAGACGGCGACGGTGCCTAAGGATGCGCTGGATCTGGTAGTCGGGCTCGTCGGTGTCAACAGCTACCGGCAGTGGAGTGCGATCACGGCCCGAGAAGGTGGCGTTGGGATCGGTGTATGGGTGAAGGAGAGGACACGTGGAATGAGGGGCATGCGGAGGAAATGTGCGGGAAGGCGAAGGCGGTATGCGACTGGACCTAGTGCGCGCTCAATGACGAATGGACCAATGAAACGTGGACGAAGCTTGCTGTCCTGTGGCAGTCGGAGGTTGCGGCTATCCAAGAGAACACGGTCGCCGACTGCGAACGACACCTCACGACGACTGCGGTTGGTGGTGCGTGCCATGCGTGCATTTGCGAGCTCAAGGTGCTTCCTCACGTGATCATGAATGAAGGTGAGATGCTGGTGGAAGTTGTCCGCACGAGGGACTGTGGGTGTGAGATCGACACGAGTGGGGACATTGGGGTGCTGACCGTAAAGTGCAAAGAACGGTGACATGCCTGTGGCGGAGTGGTGCGTGTTGTTGTAGGCGAACTCTGCCATGCTCAGCTTCTTGTCCCATGCGGCTGCATCGTGCATCGTGATGCTGCGAAGGATCTGCTCCAAGGTCTGGTTCACACGCTCGGTCTGTCCGTCTGTCTCTGGGTGGTACGCAGACGACATGGCTAAGCGAGTCCCAAACAGTGCGAAAAGCTGCTTCCAGAACTTCGAAGTGAAACGAGGGTCGCGGTCTGAGATGATGGAATCTGGAACCCCGTGCAGTCGGACTACGTTATCTACGAACAGCGTCGCGGCTTCCTCTGCTGTGACCTTGCCGTGCGTGGGGGATGAAATGCGCTGCTCGAGAAAACTTATCCACTACTACGAAGATGGCGTAGTGACCCCTAACTGTGCGCGGTAAAGCCATGATGAAGTCCATGGTAACTACCTGCCAAGGGCGGTCGGGCGGTGGAATCGGCTGCAAGAGTCCTGCTTTGCGCTGGCGAGAGGATTTCGTACGCTGACACGTGTCGCACGAGCGAATGTAATCCTCTATGTCTGCTGCAAGCCCGGGCCAGTAGTAGTACGTGCGGACTAAGCGTCTTAGCCGTCTTATCTGCTCCGAAGTGCCCTGCACTAACTACGTCGTGCGCCTCTGAGAGAAGGAGCTGTCAAAGAGGGCGGTAGGCTGGAACCCAAATCCTGTGGTACCCTTCCGTATGTAGACACTACCCTGCACCTCTGTCCTGCGGGGCGGCTGCGGTGTGAAGTCGGGATCTACTGTGTAACCCGTGCTCGAAGAGTGCTGTGAGAAGTGGGTGGCCAGCAGTGACTGTGAGACTGGCGAGCTGACAACTAGGGCGAGTGAGCGGATCTGCTGGGTTGCGCACGCCTGGCTTGTACTCTATCCTGTAGTGAAAGCTACCTTCCATGAACTCCATCCACCTAGCCTGGCGACGACTCAGCTGCGGCTGCGACTTGAGGAAACGAAGCGAACAGTGGTCCGTGCGTATAACACTATCTGCCCCCTCTAGGTAGCACCTCCACACCTTATACGCATGGATGATCGCGAGCGCCTCCTTGTCGTGTATGGGATAGTTCAACTCCGCTCCCCTAAGCTTACGCGACTCGTACGCGATCGGCTGCAACCCGCGTCCCGGTCCTGAAGAAGCACAACTCCTATGGCCTGATCGGAAGCGTCGGTCACTACAACTAAAACGTATGGGCGAGTGGGATCAGGTACGACAGTGTCGGTGAAGACATGTGGAGCGACTGCTTCATCTGCTCGAACGCCTGCTGCTGCGCTGGACCCCAAACGTACTCTACGCCCTTCCGAAGTAGGTCGGTGAGTGACTAGCGATCGATGCGTAACCCTGAACGAAACGACGGTAGTAGTTAGCGAAACCGAGGAAGCTCTGCAACTCCTTGACTGAGGGTCGGTGCTACCCAATCCTGTACTGCTGCGATCTTCTTCGGGTCAGTCCTAATGCCACTAGCGGATACGACGTGTCTAGGAACTCGACCTCTGGAAGGAAGAACTCGCACTTCGACTGCTTAGCATATAACTGCTCCCTCCGTAAAGACCTCGAAGACCTTCTGCAAGTGCTGCACGTGCTCATCTTCGTCTTAGAGAACAACTAGGATGTCGTCTAGGTAAACGACAACGAACGACCCTAGGAACTCGGAGAGGACTGTGTTCATGAGCGTCAGAAATGTCGCTGGGGCGTTGGTCAATCCGAATGGTAGAACCCTAAACTCGTACAACCCTTGCTTCGTACGAAACGCCGTCTTGTGCTGGTCCTCTGGAACTACTCGAATCTGGTGGTAACCCGAACGAAGGTCGATCTTTGAGAGAAGACTCTAGCGCCCTGCACTGCATCGAGAAGATCCTCTACTCTCGGCACCGGGAATCTATTCTTGACGGTGGCGGCGTTCAGTGCGCGGTAATCTATGCACATCCGTAACCCTCCGTCTTTCTTGGGTGCGAAAAGTATCGGTGCGGCCCAAGGCGATCTAGATGGCTGTATGAAACCCTGTGCGAGAAAGTGCCTAAATTGTTGCGTCATCTTCTCTGTCTCCGCTGGACTCAACCTCCACTGCGGCTTCGCTACTGGCCTGCTCCCCGGCTCCAATTCTATTTGATGGTCTACTACTCGGCTGGGAGGCAACCCTGGGGGCAACTCGTCGGGAAGACGTCTGCGAACTCTGCTAACAGTGCACTCACCTCAGCAGTAAGAGTCGCCTTCTCACTAACTGCTGCACTCCCTCCTTCCCCTCCTCAGCTTCCACCTCCTCAAGAAAAACGCGAAGATCCGTGCCGCACGCTTCATAACTGTCGCACACGAACAGCATTAATGATAGCTGTGGATGATGTGGCCCTATCGCTCCACTGTGGCAGCTCCCGGAACTCCCGGTCTGCCTTGACGCTGCAGCTTCCTGTTGAACAAGTAATGAAATGACTAAGAATGAAATGAGTACAAATGTGGAAACTAGAAGTGTGTACCCCCTATAGGCTAACCCACTATAGCCTAAACAACTACAAACACATATATATTGTTTGACACACCCCCATAGCGAAGTTGGGGAGAACTAGGGGTCACAAGACCAGTCAAGTAAAGCAAAGCAAAGCAAAGCAAGCTCAGGGTGGATCACAATGTCACCACACAATCCGAGCACAAGTTCAAGGTCACAAGGCCAGTTCACATGCAGGAGTACATATATATATAAGACTAAACAAGCAAGAGCAGTAATATATATATGTAACAGTACAAAGAGGGTCAAGAGGGAGCAAGTGAGGCAAGACAGACACAAGACCCAGTTGCTACAGCAGCGCTGATGATCACAAGGCGGAAGTGCCTTGGTGAAGACATCAGAGTGTTGGCCTCAGAGGCCACGTACGCAAGTCGCAACTGACCACGCTGCTGTAGTTCACGAGCAAGGAAGTAGCGGAGAGCAATGTGCTTCGTTCTGTGCTCCAGTCTCTGCTCTCGACACAAGGCCAGCATGGCCTTGTTGTCGACGTACAGGACTGGAGGAGAACGAGGCGGCTCTCCAGGTCGGTCAGCAGGTAGGTGAGCCAGCGAAGCTCCTGAGCAGCCATGGCCCCTGCGTAGATCTCAGCCTCACAACTGGAGCCGACAACAGAAGACGAGCGAGAGTAGACCGCCACGAAACAGAGCCGG